AACTAATATTTAAATAAAGAATAACAATTATAATAATTATAAACTGTAATGTTTAGTGTTGAAACGTGAGTCACAACGAATCATGTCTCAATTACTGTTGACCAAGATAGAAACCAACCCTTATATATAGGGTGAACTAGAAAAAAAACCGATACGCTTGCTGTACACGTGCTGGGTCGAGAACAGGAAACGATAAGGTATAACAGCAAAAAGAACGCAATATGCGTATCAGACAACACGCTTGAAACCGCACACTCTTATCTGATTTTATGCATTCAACCCAGACAAGCGTTATTAATTTATTTAAGGGATTGACGCGTGTTACGGTAGAATATTTAGGGTGAATGGTGATCCGTTCAATGTATGTCTGATAATAATTATTACAGTTTTGTATTTTTTTTTGTTGAGACATTTCGGTTAATATTAGTTTATAGTAGGTAGTAGAAAATATTTAAATTTTATTTTTTTGGTCAATTTTAGAGTTTTATTAACTTTTTAAAACTTAAACGGTAACGCAAGCACATGTTTTTGCATCAGTAGTTTTGTTTAATGCGACACACGATATTTCGTTTCGTTCAGCAGACATATTTTTTGTAAACGAATTTACCAACTTCTGCTTTTTTTTAAAACACTCAACGAGCTATAATAATAATAAAAAACTTTCAAGGTTAAATTAGTTATAAACATTCATACTTTGACTACTTACTATTTTTACTTAAACTGTTTAAATGAAAATCTAGAACTGAGGAACTATTCGGTTGTAAAAAAAGTTTAAAATACAATTATTTTTAACACATTTTATTCTAAAGGATAAAATTAAAACCGACAGAGGTTATATAATGAATTTAATTAAAAAAAAGGGCCAAACTTCTTTGATCTACTTCTAGAAAATTTAATTTTGTATTAACTAGACTCTATTACATGCATAATAGCTAAATGACTATACATTTTCTTACATGTTATAGAATAGTAAATATAATTTTATTTTTACACTGCAGAGCCATCTGTAGGGTAACGTTCACAGTTTTACTTTTCACCCTGATCGACCCATTGCACAAAGAGGGTGAAATTACCCTCAGTCACATTACCTTAGCGCTCTCTATTCGCCAAGGTAGTGAACTTGTTTTTAATTAAAAAAGAAAAATACTAAGTTGAGAATTTTCGGGTGAAATAAAGTAATAATTTTTCAGTCTTAAGAATATTAATATTCTGCGTGAGACATTTGAATAATTTATTAAAAGAAATCTAAAGTTATTGTAGTTATGATTTAATCGACGTTTTGTTATTTTGAATCGTTGTCTTTTTTTTAATCTAATATAATGTTTTATTGGCAATAAACCAGATTCATACATGCACACACGAGCACACTAGATATAGGTTGATAGTAGGGTTAGACAAGTATAATTATAATATATATATATATATATATATATATATATGTATATGTTGCCTTAGGGTTAAGCAATAAGTGTTGTGGTAAACGAATTAAAAATCACTAGACAGGTGATGCGCCATACATGGCATGTCTAATACAATATAATAATATACCGTGTACCTACTAAATGGTAATGAATTGATGGTTTAGTGCGATTACTGTGTAACGAACACTTAGGCTTATTATTTTACGTCCTGAACTGTGTTGTGTTTAAATGGGGTGTCGGGTGACTAAGTCGGATTGATTATGGCTTCTATATTATAAACGATGAACCGGCCACAACGCGTTGCCAGGTGTTATTGTTGTACAATTATCGACGGGTGAATCTTTACGGTAATGAAAATAATAATACACGTTAAGTAATAAAATAACCGAAAACAAATTAGTCACTTAATTTACCGCACTTTTTGGCGTTTTTAAATATGTTAAGTATAAAACTATAAAATCTTCCCCTATACTCGGATTAAAAATATACTACATAGACACTTTACAATAATTATTTTAGCTTCGACGCAGAGCTGAGAAAGTATTGTTGTTTTTACTAGTATGTGCAAATTTCATTTTTTTTTCATATTGTTTTTATACAATGTGATCGCAATTTTTCACAATTTTTTGGGGTTTTCCACAAAAACCTTTCAAATTAACACCTCCCCGCTTGGTTTTTTGGATAGAAACTTTTGAAACTTAAATGGTAACGCCCACATTTCATTAACTTGTTAAATTGAGAATAATGTACTAACCATTTTGACTGGTCGATAATCAGTTTTGAATAACTATTTTATTGAAGTCATATACTCAAACTTTTGTTTCATTAAGAAAAAAGCAAAATTACACATTGACCGTAGCAAATGTCTACATGTTCACATCAAAGCGTATATTTGAAAGTGATGTTATTATAAATACATTTAATAATTAATAAATCCTGTAGACCGACCCGTAACCTCCCCCGTCTCCACTGTACTTTAACTTTTTATTTATTACTGTTTTTTATTTTTCATTTGTTGGACATTTTTTTTGTATGTACTAATTAATTATTATATTTAAATTACGGCCGTATCGGAGGCTGCCCGGGTATGAAAAACGCTATGTCACGCGATGCTACCTCCATATATTATTATGTATATATTTACATAGAGGACGGTAGGTTTTTGTGTTTTTTTTTGCGATTTTTTTTCCATCCCATTCATTCCCGTTTGGATTTAATCATAAACAAACAATAGCCCGTGTATATATTTTGTTACATACACACACACATTTTTATTTATACTCTTAGTTAAAGGGCGCGCGCACACGCTCGTTAAAGGCGGTCGTCGTCCAATATAATATAGTGAAATGGACCGAAAGGGCTTTTAATTGACAAAGGCTGCGACGCGTGTGGGCTACTATAGGGCTATTATTTCGAGCCGTGCGTACGACAGGAAACCGTTGGTCTGCTAACTTTTCATTCCGTAACGGAAACTCATACAGGGATTAGTCATGTTCAGGGAAAACCAACTGGGGAGGTCGCAAAAGATTTTTTTTTGCAAGGGGTTGGGGCAAAGATACGTGGGTAAGATAAAAGTAACGGTTCTAAATACACATGCCTATTCGGGTTTAAATAATTATTATAAATTCCCTGTAAAGTAGGCTCTATTTGAGTATGCAAACGTTAATCGTTAAATTAAACACACGGAATCAAATGGGGATTAATCTTCGGCTTTCATCGGCAAGTACTGCCATATTTTCTTGTTTGGTAGCTACGCATGCTCAGTGCACACACGAAAACAATGCTTTTCAGTGACAAAGAATACTCTTGAGATAATGTGATACACATCAAAATATGATCAGCATGAAAAAAGGAACACAATTTGATATTAATGTCGATTTGAAAAAAAAATTATATTGACGTAGATACATCACAAAAGATATTTTTTTTGGAAATACTGATAAAACAACCCCTATTATGGCCCTTAAATTTTTTTTTGATGGTTAACCAAATTCTGGGATTGTATAATTAAGACGGGAGGAAGGGTGGAGTAATGTATTATTTTTATCTCACTCCGTCTCCCTAAATTTTAAACTCTAGTCTCTCGTCTTCTTCTTCATTTTCGTCTTACACTCTCAACTATATGAGGTCGGCCAGAAATCTAAGTCTTTAACAACTTTAAAAATGCAATTATTCAATACTAGTTATCGGCCACTAATAATTTTCGGCAAATTATTCTTATTTAAAAAATGTAATTAATAATATACGTTACTGTTTGAATTCCAATATTTTTAACATACATAAAAATTTGTTAAAAAAAGAAAAACTACAGAATTGTTAAATATATTATTTTCCTAAAAAACATGTGTCAACATGGCAGGTGTATATCATTTGTTAAATAGCTACTTTCTTTTTTTGAGAGCCCTCTGTTTGTGCATAGGTTTTTGTGGCACGTGTTGTACATAACATTGAAAAATTGGGGCCTGAGTACTTGGATTGTTGTACTTGGGCTTAGACCCAACACTGTTCTAAGTACGTGGGTCAAGGTAATAGTATGGTAACAAGTGTATAATCTGAATTCTGAATCCCTGATGTCTGTTTACAATCCAACTAATGTGGATATTATTGATTCGCAGACGGGTTTGTCGTCTGAACCTCGTACCAAGTGTTTATTTACAGCGGCAAACTCGGTTCGTAGATGAATTATTATTGCTTTCTTTCCGGCAGGGACGAGTAAAAACCAATAAAAATCCTATACGGGGTTGCGCGTTTCGTGGATTTTCTCGGCTTGGATTGCATGTCTTGAGTCAAATGGTTTATGGTGCAGAGGTTAACCCGCCGGGCCAAGGGTGGATACGAATGAAAGCCTCCGGACAAAGCACGGGGGGAGTGAGAAAAAAAAATAATATTTTTATTTATTGCTAATAGGAGGGATGCACAGTTTTGGGCGAGGGGATCGTTGGTAGACCATTAATCATAACCGGGTTAACTGCACTGACCCCCCACCACGTCGGCGGCGGTCTCGGCTGTGAAATTTTATATTATAGCATTGTTTGGTCGACGATGACTGTCACGAAGAGACACCTCCGCAGCTCATCGCTTTTAACAGTGTTTATTGTATTATTATACTGCGAAAAAAGCCACGTCGGTCACGCTAACCCACGGCCAAAAGCCAGACCGCCAACACCCCGCCGTATGTACCGGCCAAATAATGACAGTAATCAATGTTAATTATTGCAATCGTTCTCATAGAGTTATTTTCACTTTTCGACACTTTTTAACAATTAACAAAATATACTATTTAATCAATAAACAACAGCCATAACAGTGTGACCTATGTAGAAAATAAAACATTTCTGTGTAACTATTGAACTGGATTAGAGCTCATTGCCATAGCAAATGCAAATGACTTGGTTTGAGGGTCTTAAACTGTAATACACAATTTTAAATCTGAATAAAAATAGTATCAGCGTCGAAAATTGATTGACATTTTGTTAACTTGTTTTTCGAATACCTTATTGACTGTTGTTACAAAACAGATACAAAACTACCCATTTCTTATTATTAATGGTTCATAAAAAATAAATGTATTTTAGTAACCTGATTTTGAAGAACTTCGAAACGTGTCTGATATCGATGACGGTAGGTATGACGATTTCCCTACAGTAGACAAACCTGTAAAACATAAATAAAAATAAATAAACAAATGAATTTAACATTTTTATTATTAAAAAAAAATAGATTTATGCTAGTTTTTGCATTTGGAATAGTTAAGGGCCACCGACATGATTTGTGCTAATCGTTATAAGCTATCAAATTCTTCCATTTTTCTTTCCTCTAAAGGCTGTAATCCTAATTATTTTAACACAATTTTTCTTATTTAAATACATTTCTTAAACACTACCGACATTTTAAAATAATTTAGTATCTTGCTTCAATCAGAATTTAAATTTGCTAAAATCTTCATAACAAATCATAATTTAAACCAAAGTAGTAGGTTAGGTTAGGTTATGGTATTCATAATATTTTTTTCTATTTCCAAAATTTTAAACCAATTTCCTTAATATGCTTTTCTAGAAACTATAAATAATTACTGTAATAAATATCCAGTTGTCGCTTGACATTAAGATGCATATGAATACTAGACATATTAAATTATTATAATGATTACAAATGATTCATTTAGTATTTAAGTCTGTATATTCATATCATGTAAATTGTTTTAATTCTTATGTTTGAGCGACTTTATTTTTGTTTTATTATTATGTAAGTAAATACAATTATGCATAAAACACAATGCCAAATATAAGGCGGGGCAGGACAAGGCCGCCTAAACTAATTGTAAGTTCTCATCAAGTAGGTACAATATTTGTATAGTCAATAATCTCTTCAAAAATGTTGGGCTATTTGTGCCTATGATAATAAACTAACAAATAAAAAATTATGAATGTGTTAAAAGCTTTCATGGATCGAAATATTATGTGGATAAATATTTTCGGATGTATCAATGTCTCAAAATTATCCACATATAATTATGTAAGATTATAAAAATGTTGCAAGAAGCGGTTTTTTCAGTTATTAGGCATTCCTGTAAGACGAACTTGGCGGATCTTTTCTCAACATCAAATTTATCATTAAGACAAAATATAAGGTTGAGGATGGGGCGATGCAAGAGCCGATATTAGAATAGGAAATGACCGCATAGAACGAGTCAAAGACTGCGGCTAAAGAAATAATTGCGCTTGCTAAACTAGCTCTCGGAACTTAAACGGAGCTTGGTAGTTAATCAAAACCTTTCAATCAACAAGAGAGATAAAGTCCTATAAAAATATTTATATGGATCGTACCGACATAGCCTCATAGGATATGAAGAAAGCAACTATTCGCTGCAGAATTAATTGCTTATAATGCTTAAGATTTTGGGCGGATTGTAGTATTCTTTTTAACTGCATGTGTACTCAATGGGACCCAATTTTAAACTTAAAAAGTACTTTTTCAAATCTGGTTATCGACCAGTCAAAATTGCCAAAAAATTATTCTTAACTTAAGAAGACGATAAAATATATTATAAGCACCGTTTAAAAATCTCAAGCTCATATGGTTTCAACGCATAATGGCCTATAGAAGCATGAGAAAGACAAATATCTTTTAAGACCTATATGGGATACTTATAGCCTATTCCTTCTTTAAGCTAACACGTTATAAGAAAACGAAAGTCTCAAAAAATACAAATTTGTGAACCCAACTCGATAGAAACGGTTTTGCGTGTCGTTAACTTTCTAATCTTAAGCTAAACATACATAAAAAAAATCTGTTGATGCGCAAGAGAAGAAAATCCCAAATGATCGGAGGGGCGGGATGGTTGGCGGCCATTTGACTGACGACAGTATCCATAGCAACGACATGTGACCCTCATACCGATGGGTTGACAGTTTCCCCCCTTTCCAAAGAACGAACCTCCGTCGTAGATAAACACACACACACACTGTGGTAGTCAATGGAGGGAAATACCGCTTGGCCTTAGATATCGTACATTAATTCAATACTACATTTTATTGATGTCACTTTTCCCTTTGGCGAGTCCGCCCACAAATTTATACGGCTGGTTGTTTTCAAAACGATTCCAAAATAAAACCAATACCATCTCGGCTATTGAATTTTGCAGCATAAACAATCATTTTAATGGTTGTTTTCCATAAGTATATTTTTCAAAGAAAACCCCATTATTTTGGTAAAACAAAAAATAACTAAATACTTAACAACATTTAGACACTTACCGTTAGAAGTAGAAGAAGACAAGTGCATTAGACTAGAATTTTTATCATATCTGCTGCTGGATGAATCAATATCTGAAATAATATTATTAGGCCATGTTTATTATACACTTTTACAACTATTCGTCACTTAAAAAAATTAAATAAACGTCAACATTAATGTATAGTTTCTAAATGAGTTCAAAATAAAGAACTTTTCAAGCACAAAGTTTTTTACAACGATTTTAATGACTTATCTAATTCTAGTCCGTAATAATAAATGTAACAACAAGTAGACACAGATCAAATCTGGAGTCTTGGCTAAGTTTGAATAATTTAACCATATTTGATACAGTTTTTAGATAATTTTCAAAATTAAGTTAATCAGAAATACAAGGATGGATCTATTTAACTCAAGACACTCATTTGTAAATAATTACAATATTGCAGTTTTGCGATAACTGGATTTCGAAACGACTAAAAAAAATGTATTATCAAAACTAATGAAAATAATTAATATAAGCCGTTTATTTAAATATTCTATGAATTCTTCTTTAAAGTGTTACTGTTACATAATTTACTTCATTAACTATCTATTATTTTATCAGTAACATTATAAATAAACCAGGAAAACAATACAGCTATCGTTGCGTGTAATTTCTTTATCTTTATCTGTTTCATTATAAATAAATATATAAAATATTTTTAAATGATAATTTACCCTCTTTTTTTTTGGTTTCACGCATTAACAAAATAATTATCTAACAAGGTCCTGAACAAAGCCATAAAAAAAAAAAAGATTCAGGCCCTAAAAGTATAAGGGAATTTTCCCTTTATCTCTGCGACGTTATAGCACAAAAGATACAGCCCTTGACACTATCGGCAAAGTTTTTTTTTAATGCATAAACAACTTTTTTTTGTGTGTTAAAAAAACGTAGCTCTTGTGTATCGAGAAGTGTCGTAAGCGACTATGTTTATAAATAACCTATAGGGTCGCAATAAGTAAAATATTATGTAAGCAAAAGACAAGTTACAATGTTACAAGAATAACGAAAATACATTTTCCTGTATATTTTCAATTTGTTTTACTACTGCAACCATGTGATGTAATACAAAACACATGACTTATCACATTATCATAATATAGATTGTTAAGTGTACATGCCGCCAATAAAGATAATTAAAGTTACCAATTTTCGCCATCTGTGTGGGAATTAGAACTTTATCACATGTTTATAACCGTTATACCAATTATAAATTAAGCTGATAGCACAGAATCACAAATTTATATATTATCTTACACACACATATGACATAAATCCCACAAAAATGACCGATGTCGACTTCCATTCTTATCACTAGTTAGTAATCTAATTAATTATATATCTGTGTTGTCATATGAAATTGATCTATTGAACACAGGTGACACATAACTGAATATTTTCCACCGTGAACATTCATTTCACTTTAGGATGTTATATTTTATTAAATATTGCAACCGTGTTTTTTTATGTTAGTTTAGTGTGTATTTCGTCTTCCGCTATGTTTGTAAAGTGTAGGTATTCAAATGGAAATACAAGACGACAATTTACAAACAAATTGTAAGTATGAATAGGTCAAATAAATATTCTTAAGTTATCGCACATTTTCCTCGGAAGGAAACGGTAATCATAAAAGGATTATGTGTGTGTATATAGGCCTCATGGGTTGGCTGGAAGAACACAATAATAAAAACCGATATCCCGCAGAGATATCATTAGGAACCATTGTCGTTCCGTTTTTCTTCCTTATTATTTATTTATATTATTATTATTACATTTTTTTTTTGTTGTCGTTAAAAGACCACAACGGATGTACTCAATTTTCTTTCATTTTCTCTCGCGCACACACCCCACCGTTTCCCATTGGGTTTCCTTAGCGTTTCCGAAAGCCCGGTGTAAGACGATCAGAGTGAAGAAGAAGAAAAAAAAAATAGTGTTTTGTGCCGGTGTGCGATTGTTACTTTAAAAACGCGCCATTTCTATAACTCAAAAGGCCAAAAAGCACAAAAACCGCTGAAGGATGACGACCGAAAGTCGTTTCCATGGAAACGGTTTTCTTCTTTTTCGGTTAGATTTTCAACGCGCTTAAAAAAAAAAAATACCTCCCCCGACCGACAATAAATACATTTTTTTGTTTTATTTATTGCGTATTGTTTGAAGGTTTTATTTGCAGTATAATATTATCATAGTTGTTGCATTATTGTTCTTATTTCTCAATAAAAAAAAAATGAATATTATAAAAAGTACACAGCGAGATGATAAAAAAAACAATTTCTTAGAATACGGTTTTGTCAGCATATTCATTATTTTCAAGGCCAGTCTTACAATAATCAAAATTTGTTTTACTTCGAAGAGAGAAAGTATTGTTTTAACAAACAATGATGTATTTATTTATTTTAACAAACATGGACTTGGTTTTTTCTAATGGGAACATATGTTTTTAATTCCATAATTATGTGGACAAAAAATGTTAAAACATTTTAGAGTTTAAATTACATTTTTTTTATCAATCTGTTCATTTCTATCACTTTGTAAAGGTACTTTACAAAGTTTTACAAATATTTTCCAGTATTTTTTCATTTGTCCAAAAAATCGGTAGTCCATTAAAATTATATTTATTTTTGCATTGTCCGATAGGCGATAACAGTGGTAACCCGATACAATAAAATGTGATAAGATAATGATACACAAGCGGTTCTCATCTACCTAATCAAACACAGTGACGGCTACTGTTTTCTTGAACAACCTAAGAAAAAATAGGGGAAAATGTAATAACTTTACAAAGTCATATAAAACGATCGGATTGATGAAGATTAAAAATGATTTGAAAGTAAACGATTTCTGAGCATTGAAAAATATAGTAAAATATCTAATCCGAGAAAATTAGTGTCTTACATCAGATGAACCACCCTGTAGACTGGAGCTTTAACGTACAGGTCCCTATGCCCCGACTCCACTGTGATGATTTTTTTATATTTATGAGTATTGTTCGTAGGTACAGGAAAATATGAATATTTTAGAAAATCATTTTTTTTCCTTTATGGTAACGGCACCAGTGATTGACACTATAATCCAGTCTTTGGCAATGCAGTGTTTATTTTATATCAGATAAAATTGTTTACATATTTTACATATTTTTTCAATGAATTTTGTGAAAAAAAATTACCTTATCGGTATAAATATTCTATTGGATATAAAAAAAAACACTTTATTGCCAAAAATAAGGATAATGTCAATCACCAGTGATTGGTGTCGTTACCCTACTTGGAAATGTACAGTTATTCAAACATAGGGTGTTTTTTTAAAAAAATTTTTTTTTACTCACAGTTGTTGCGTTTGTCGGTGTTGTTGGGTTCGTCTTGAAACAAGTCAAGAGACGTGGTGGTCGGGTGCGAAGATACTGGCGTTCGGGTGGTCGGCGTGGCAGGACAAAAAGGAGACGAACCTAGATCGCACGACGACAGATAACTTCCACGGTCTTGTAGCGCGGCTTTGGCCTTTTCCACCGACTGTTTGAGCTGTTCAAAAGTGGAGTTGCACGCGAACCTGCATTACATAATATAGTACATTCTTTACAAGAAGCACAGGTTGGGCAAAGAAGTTAAAAAAAGACAAAATCGACAAGATAGAACAACAACGCACGTCTATCAGGCCTGCCAACATAAGCGAATAATGACGATATGATGATGGTTATTATGTTACCTGTAAGCACAACTTGCTACTCCAACCGAGGGCCACTGGGGCGTGGTACTAGATAAACAGTCGTTTTCGGTTTTAATGTTAGGAGGCGATGACATTGCCACCCTTTTCAGGTCTAACGCGCTTTGATACGAGCAAGTGCTGTCGTACATCATTGAGTTTGACTGAAATAAAAACAAAATATATACATTTCACATGTTAACAATACAAACACTTGACACATTTTTAACTATTACCAATCAATAGGTTGAATCAAGCAAGGCGCAAAGTTAATGTCCAACAACGCGTTTGCAAGGTGGAAGTTCATTTGTAAAATATAATCAGTAAAGGTATATAATATATAAGTATATAAGTAAAATAAATCAAGTATGAAGTAAAAAAATGTCATTTTAACCGTTAAAAAATCGTATAAAACTTGAATTTTTTTTAAAAGAATTGTTTTAATGAGTTCTACATTTAAAAAAACGGGTTTCAATATTTTACAAAGTATTCCAGAAAATATTTTTGGTAAAACCCTTAATTGTGTTCTTAATTAATTGCTTTGCAAAATGTCGGTGAAATAATACAATTTCCCATCAAATGACGGTTTTTATTGTTTTTTTTTAAGTATTTAAGATTATATTTTTTATACTAACCATAAACAGTTGTGAATTATTCTGTTAGATGGGAGGGGGAGGGGTGAAGCGTTTTTAGAACCATAAAAGAATTAACAACACCTAACTGTTGTTCTTATACACGACCCTGAAATCGGCTTTTAATTAGTGTTTATGATGGGAAAACCGTAATAAATAACGTCCGCCCCTTTTATAATACAGTGGCTTCTGTATTTTGTGTAATTACACGTTGTTATACATAAAAATAAATAAATACCATTCGGGGCAGGACGAACCAAAAGAATATGCATGTATGTACGTACAAGAAGGGTCAGTGTGCATATGTTCAAAGGGTAGTTTTGTCCTTTGGGTTTTGGTGCTGTATAATTTATTGGCCAGAGTTTTTTTTATCCCAATGTCTTTCCGCGCTATAACTTTTTTATTCTCTGTGGTAAATAGGTGTTGTAATTTTTTTTGGTTTTTTTGTTCTACCCAAATTGTGCCAACCGACCGAAAACCAGACGGACCGCGTTCTCCCACTGTGAAACCCGTATAGGTATAATATTATGATTGCGGCTAAAGTAGCGCTAAATATTTTTTCAACCCTATTTCCGACCTTTAACACAGCCGTCGACGACCGCAACAATTGGGTTGAAAGCGCTGCTGAAAATAAAAATGTTGCCTGAGAAGCAGATAAGTCCCAAGTCCATCTGGGAGAGCCAAACAACTGAAATCTCAATGCCAGGTTAATGTCTACATCAAATATTTACATATTAAAATTAATTTGTTGTTAAATAAAAGAAGGTATCTAACAATTTTTTATTTTTCATTTACTCAGCTTGGATCCCTTTGCTCTAGAGGCATTTTGGACTTAACACTAATATTGACAAAAGTCCTGGACTTAACCTAACCTGGATCGAATTTCATTGAAGTGATGTCCATTTCGGATCACAATGTTTTCGTTTAATATCTCAAAAATATTAAGTGAGACGCCTAACGAAAAATTACATAGGAAAAACCCATAACATCAATTTTTATAAAAATGGACTTACTCCCGTTTGCTTGTCAGGTATAAAATTAATATTTTGTAATTGAAAACAATGTTTTTTTTTATCATTACACATTTATATAATATACCTAGTCATAGTATAGGTAATAAAATAACAAATATAATATACTTTTTTGATATTATTTTAATTGTTTTTTTTTTAATTTGTATTGATACGTTTTTATTATTAACCTAAAATGTATTGAGGTTAAATAGTTAATTTTTTTAAACTAATATTTTTATTACCTAATAAAAAACGTTTTCAAGCAAATGTTTTGAAAATTTTACATATTTTGTTGAGTAATACAATCTATTTCAATTAGTACTTATATTTAAACTTTAAAGACCTAATAAAATGTTACAAAACGTTTTTATAAGGTAATAAAAATGTTTGTTAAAAATTATGAATTATTTAACCTTCATAAATTTTACATTTGAAGTAAAAAAAAATATATATAAAAATAATATCAAAAAAAGTTAGATTTAATAGGTGATACACATCCTATAGAACATACTACCTATTCGTTAAGATATGATTCCAATAAAAAAACAGTTGTTTTCAATTAAATAACTTTTAAACATCTATTATTTAAAGCAGTGCAAAATTGTTCTTTTCAACAACGCTCAGTAGCGCTTTAGAATATACAGGGTGATTAATTTAACATCATTTTCTAGGTAAATAATTACAATTTTATAGATTTTCTTGGTGAAAACATTTTCATTTACGTTATTGTATAATATTATAAAATGAATAAATATTTACCTTTTAAAGTATTTTCCAGAGCGCTATGAACACTGACACGGGAACGTAATAAATATTTAATTAACTTTTTAAATTATAAATAATGATTTGTATGATCATACATTTATGATGACCAGTTTTGGATAAGTTCAGGACGGGAGGAATGAATTATTATTATGTTTATTTACTCAACCGCTCTCCCGTCCTAAATTTTAAACTCTAATAACTTTAAAAGTAGGTAATTATCAAAAACTAGTCGTCGACCAGTCAACATTTTCAGGAAATTATTTTTAATTTAAAAACGTCAGTTAAATAGATACCTAACAATTTAAGTTTCAAGAGTTGATAGAGCTCTAGAGAGTACTAAAAAAAAAGTTAAAAATATTCTAAAATAATGTAAATAAAAATGTTCTCAATAAGAAAAATTATGAAATTGTTATTACTTTCAGAGAAAATTAGTGTCTTACGTTGAATTGATCATCCTGTACTCTGAACTACATTATATTATGAATCGATTATTTTCGGTTTAGGTTAAAAAGTTAAGCACATACAATTCTACTTGAAATAAGTTTAAAAAAATATTTTTAACTCTATACCAAATTCCTAAATTTGTGAACCTAACCAATTCTTTAATTTAATTCAACGGTAAGAGTTTTGTTTGAACGAATTTGACCCTTTTCATCATAAACGAGATTGTGCGCAACAGAATGATGTAAACCAAAACTACTCTACCGATATATTTTTTTATGACATAAACATTTGTTTAATAATGTTTATAAAAATATGTAAATCATATTTAAAGGAACTTTTGTTGTATGTATTTGAATTGCCATAATAAAAATTAACAAAACAGTATATTTATTAAGAAAAGTAATTTTCAACAAAATTGTGACTTATCACGTTTGTGGTTTTTAGATAATAATCGTTAAAAAAAAATAATAATAATACCAAAATAATGATTTACCCCGACAACGTTTTCGGTGAACGTCCTCCAATGAGTCCTCTTATTTTTATTGTTCTCGAAACGGTCAAGTCGTCACGTCGAGAAAAATAAAAAGAACCGTATCAAGTGTTTCGCGGTAAAGAACGTCCGGTTCGGGGAAACACGGCCGGGCCGGTTCCGTTTTTCGCCGGACACACTACTTCGGAAGTCGATTCCGGCGGATGGGCCTCGTCGAACGCACACGTTACCAGTCGGAAATCGTACGGCGAGTGGGCCACGGCGCGTCGCGACGCCGGAGGAAACGTTTACTTTCGGAGCCAAATGCACCACCGCCGCCGCCACCGCCACCAGCGCCGCCGTCGTGGGCGCGAGGGCCAATATAATGATCCGATAATTAAATTTAACCGTCGCTTCCCCGCCGCCCCCGCCCCTTCGAAGGGGATGAACGGCGAGGCGGGTATGTGCCATCCGATAGCGATACGCCCGGTGGTTCCGATTGGTCGGAAACGGATGGGCATGCGCGCGTTACTCTCTCCCGCCGCCGCCGCGGCCAGATGACATTTGCCTTCTTTTCGCTCTTCTAGGCGGTCCGCGCCGCGCCACACCGTGCCACTCGGAGCCGCTCTTCCCCGGGGCCCCCAGAGAGGATCATCCGCGGATACAAATGGCGCTCGATAGAAGGGTCACCTTTGTCCGTGTATTCTGTGCGATACAATATCTTTCTCATGTATTTCACTATCTTCTACACTTTGTGAAACAAGAAAATAGCTCCGCATCCGACGATTAGCTGAAAATAACTTAAGAAAATGTTGTTTTAGTTGGCTTACAATACGGTTCAAGTTTAAAAATTTAATTATTCTGTATTTGAATAGGTTTTTTCTTGGATTTTGTTGTGGCCAGTAATTGTTTATTAACTCCTCATATGCATAGTATCGACAAATATGACATTTTTAAATAAATGTTCATAACAGTAGATTTTAGTAATAATTTTGTATTAGTTTTATAACGGAAAAAGCTTATATTTACCGTTTGCATTCGAAGAAGATAAGTCTACAAACAACAAATTATTTCCATCCTACTCAGGAAAGATACATTTAAAGACGATGTAATAAGCGTTTTAAAAAACGAAGAAAATGATTCTTTACCTTCTGATGGGACATTTTTAACAGCGTTTTTAAATTATTTTCAATTGAGTTGTTCTTCTAAATCAAAATCATATAATTCAACATGATTTTCACCTTTGACTTTAGAATCGCCCTGTTGATCTTTTTTTGATTCTGAGGTCCCATGAAAATGATTTTATTACCGCATATGGAATTTTGTTGTCTTCTACAATGTATAAAAACTGAATTTTAATTTATATTCATTAAAAGAATAAATAAATATTTATATAATGAAGAGTATACTGAAATAACTAATATTTTCTGTTTGTAAATTGGATACCACTTAGATAAACGTCATCGGCTTTACATTTTATTAATAATTGTTATCTAGTAATCGGATTTCTGTATGTATTTCATCGATGCGCTTTGACTTATATTTTATATAAATTCAATAAGTTTTTGTATGATTATTATTAATTTGTTAGATAAATGAAGTGCAATACATATAGTTTACCTACCAAAAATGTCATCATATTTATTTGTGCTGGGTCTTGTACACACTGACACGGATTTTGTTGTTTTAATTAGTTAATTCAGTATCGTTGATGTTGTATGATCTAACCTGCAAGTATATTTTAGATAATTATTTCTGATAATTGTTCTATTGTATAATATTATTTCGAGTTGTAATTGTGTTTACTTACAATCCATCAGTCAGTCCTCACTAGTCCGGTTACCGTCATTTTGTTTTAAATTTAGCATAAAATACATTTCATTTACTCTTTATACATGTAGGTGTATGTTGGAACGCTTTAGTTAACTCTAATTGTGGCTAATTATCAACTCAATAATTTTCTGTGTTTTTACCTTTAGACAGATTGAAGGGAAATAGATTTTTTCACTATGACTTGATACTAAATTATGTTACTTTAACTCATCATAGTTTACTTGAAAATGTGTATATTTAAATTAAATATTACTTGAAATTATAAAAAAAAAATATTTAATGTGTAAATTAAAAATTTGTTCCAACCAACACATTATTATCAATTAACTATTCATCATTTATTATCTGAATGAATCTAAGTTAAATTTACCAATCTAATATTTTCCATAAAGTCTTTTAACGATTTCTAAGCGACGATGAGATGAAAAGTAAATAATATCATATTTAATTTTGAAGTTATAAGTGAAAACTCAATTTTCGTATACTTCAATTAAACTTTAGTAAAATTTAATACATTTTTTAAACCGTTTTTTGTTGCGATTGGCGAAATCTATCGACGCTCGGCGAACGGGGTGTACTTTCTCTGATTTAAAACAATATCAACTTATGGGGATGAAGTCACTATGTATACCGTTATTTGCGCTGCTGCTTCGGTGTTTACAGCGTGCAGTGAGTGTAATTCATTTCATTCCACGAACCTCGGGTGAAATACAGTGAGAAAGCGAGTATTGTACAGTATATATATACATTACAATATTATAATATATGTATAACCTGCACAAGCCGGAGCAGAGAAACAGATAGTAGAGGCACAGAGTAAAACGGTTTAAATTAATGTGCCCGACACCGCCATATATATATATATATATATACATAGTTAATAAGTAAGGAAGGGAGGAGGAGATGAAGGTGCTGATATAGTTTCGGGGGGCGTTTATGATTTGTAGCTTTTGGGGGTGGCAAGCAAAGGGTAGTAGGTATATACATAAAACGTTAACGTTGGGGAATTAGCGGATGGCAATCGGAGGCGGCGGGAGGAGAGGGGATGAAATTCGCCAAGATAAGACACGTGCGCGACGGGATCGCACAGTAATGGGATGGGGGGGGGGGTTGAAACAATCCAGTGAATACATAAATACACAATTAATCACTCTCTCGTTAACGGAGTTTCGCCGGTTGTTCTCCTCCCCGACCAGTCTTTCTGACTGCAAGCCCGAGTTGCAAGAAAGTTTTTCGAAAACTCTTTTTTTTTTTATCTCGAACCGGACGCCGGCTTAATTAAAAAGAAAAACTTTTTGTTTCAAAACTTTTTCGGTTTCTCCGATGCGCGTGTACAGGGTGATCAACACACACACACACTTTAGAATTATTCAAGTTTAGTGGTGAAGTATACTGTATAGTATTTGTTGTTTTGCTCAGTGATATTTTAAGATGACAGTTAAAAACTTAGTTATTATAATAATATAGAGTACCAACAGCTCGACAATGAAGACTTTTTTTTCTTTTGTGTGGTCATACTGGTTTTAGTCCTTCTGGTTACTGCAATGTACGGTTTTTCGAATACTCGAGCTCATTGTTTTGGTGAATATTTTTTCCCCTAGGGATTCCGCAAGTACTTTTATGGGATATTTACCACCCGCAGGTAAACGTGACACGTGCACTTGACTGGCACTGATAAAACATAAAACACTTCGCGGTTCGTTATACCCGTCGTCACCGTCATTCTGTCTAAAGATAATGAATAATAATAAAATAATAAACACAGCTGATATACTCAACACACACACACACACGGTAGTATACAGAGTGATCCATCTGGTGTAGGACATTAATTTTCTTGGAAAATATGAATATTTTGTACATTTTTTGATCACCCTGTATATCAACTATGTATCCGACGATTATTAAGCGTTAATCACCACTCGACTAAGTGCTATACCCTACCGGATGGTAAACATGCAATAATCCTATTAACGGTTAAGTATTTATTTTTCGAAAAACGGTTTTTATTTTTATTCAATTTTCACAAGGGGCGTCGGCGGGCAGACGACACTGTAAATGCTCATCCCGTACATTATATATTGTATTGCGTATACAATACACGTTGGGTGATCTTTCTTCTTTTTTTTTTTATTAGGGGGTCACGTGCCACTATACGGCAGCGGCACGTGGACGGTGCCATGAAAAATTACATACGAGTGGTCGACCCTCCGCGAATTAGCTTGTTTCAGCATATTGTTCACGGTTAATGGTTCGAGATGTTTTTGCTACTCGTACCTCCCACGGTCCGGCGAGCAAGAATACCGGCGAGCCACAAAATATACACATTACACATGCACATGCAAAGGCAGCCCTTAATTCTTAATACACTTGCACATGCACTGTGGGGGTAAACAAACGACCGTCGTCGGCCGGACTCGTCGGCCCGTGAAAACTGAAAGACGCGTATATTATACTACATAGTTGTGTACATATAACATAACCAATAACAATAGACATAAAAAAGTTAACAGTATATCCACACTTTATTCAGATACATCAAAACATGGATATGTCTTGAAATCTAGTATCTCTATTATAATTCACCTCCATACTCCCTCCATCCTCCTCCATACTCCCTCCACAATCCATAAACATGGAAATATGAAAAAAATTATATAAGTATACAAGTCGAAACGTGTAAAATTAAAACAAAAACACCCAATACTGTACTTGTATTGAAAAATATAAATTAAAAAAAATAGGTACCTGTATACTGTTCCATTAACTAAGGCAGTAAGAATAACATGAAAAAATAAAAAAATGCAAACAACTCAACACCGGAAATACTATCTGGAATGATTATCCGGAATGGTTAGTATTAAGTGTGCATCTGTTTACTCTGTTAAAAGCACACACGCAAGTCGGAAGCGAAGACATCCGTAAAATACTTTTTAATGTTTTCATTGAACGTCCCACATCCGACCCTGTGGTTTTACGACTCACGTTTGTCTAATCGATTATTTCAACAGTTTTTAAATTAAATTCGTGGGGTTTTCTCTATATTGTACTCTTATAAAAACTAACAAATAGTAGCGAAGTAGTAGGTCTAACAACTGCGCTAACGATTCGAGTAATAAAATTAATTAATTAGTCAACATTTTGTTTATAACGAAAAAAGTGACTTAAACACTATAAATTTGGTTTTTGAATGCTATTATGGGTTTAATAACTTAATCCAAACCAGCACAGTATAAACCAACATGGTCTTTTTTTTAAATTTAAATCATTAATCGCGTGGGTATGAAATCTACCTATATATCATCTTTCAAGCTAAGATAAATATCTATCTTCTCATTTTTAGTGTGTAGCAGTTTGTTTTATTTTCTATTTACAAAAAACTCTTAAAGTTTTCTTTAACATGATATAATTAAAACTAT